TCCTCTTACAAATTACGTCTTTTCGCTCGTGTGCTCTATGGCCAAATATCGACTTAATTCAAAATGGAAATTTATTTTCCAATTAAATCTTGGATTTTTTCTCTCAAACAGCAAGTTAATTTCATGCCCTTCCTGCCCTCTGGTAGGTTAGGAGGAAGTTCTTCTAAGGTTTCAAAATGTCATGAAAACCATTAATTGAAAGTTTCTTCTCCTAATTAAACAGCCTAAACCAGAGGACCCAAAACAGAAAATGGAACAGTACGTCACTTTCGTGAACAATTTCATTTTGAATTACGTCGATTTTTAGCCCGAGTTCGCATACGAGTGAAAAGCAACATAATTTGTAAGAGGACGGATTGCTTTGGTAGCTAGGACTCTTGTGCCCGTGGGCATTTGACTTTGGTCTTGCGCTTCTTTTCCCTTCTCTAGCTGTCCTAGGACTGGCTTGGGGAGGATGTGGAGGTATTGAATGCCAAGCCTTTGTCAGGTGTGCTGGCCTTGGCAGCTCGGGTGTTGAATGCACTGTTGAAGCTGTTTGCGCTGATTCTCAGAGAAGGTGGGTGTCTGTTCTTTGCTTCTCACCTTGTGTGCCGGCAGGCTGTGCTCACCCGCTTTGGAATCCGCTTGGGTCCTGGCTCTTAAGTTTTTGTTGCTCTTTTGTCCATTGCTGTTTGCAGAGACTACTGTCACGTTGTTTCTGCAGGCGGCTTCATCTAGTTGTCATCCTATGTCAGACTTGTTGCTTCTCCGGCGTGGCCGTTCTCGGCCTTCTCGGAAGGGTTGTGCCAGGGCTAGGGGTTCCTCTGGGCGGGGTGGGCCATTGGTGCCAGCTTATGAGCCAATGCTTCCTTCGGAGCCGGCATCATCTGGTCGACGCAATAATTACTCTGCTTGTTGGCCGGCTTTTCGTAAGGGGCGTCACCCCTGTTTGCTCACACTTGGTCCCACGATTCGTGGGCGTTTCGGGTCGTCCCCTCCACCCTGTGGTGACTTTGAGCGGCTCCTCCTTCGGGGAATTCAGGGCTAACGGGGCAGGCTTCTTCATTTGCGCTCTATCGTGTCATCTTGGAATGAGTGCGCTTGGGCGTGGTCGAAACAACCAATTGTTTGTTTGTTTCCAAACAAAAACAACCAAACCCTTAGGTGGGTTTCTCTCCCATTTCCAGTAGCGAAACAGAACTGTGCAGATCTGCGGTTCATTCTGGACTTGTCCCGTCTGAACCCCTGGATTCCTTGCCTCTCCTTTCAGTTGACCACTATGTCTCAGGTCCAGCTTTTGGAGCCAGGTGCTTGGATAGTGTCTCTGGACCTCCGGGACGTGTATTGGAACGTCCTGATTCATTCGGGGTTCTGGGACTGGCTCGGTTTTGTGGTGGGGCGGCAGGCTTACCGCTTTCGTTGCCTTTTGGCTTGAATCTGGCACCTCGCGTATTCATGTGTCTTACCCAGAAAACCAACCGTGGACATATTCAAGAGAAAACTAGACTGTTTTCTAAAAGACGTTCCGGACTAACTGGGCTATGGTGGGTATGTGGGCCTGCGGACTGCTCCAAGCAACAGCCTGGTGGACCAAACTCTCACAAGTCAAGCCTGGTCTCAGACCGGGCTTCGAGTAGAAGAACTCCCAGAACCATATCAACCAGGTAACCCGGGTTGTGGTGACCTGTCTGCGTCTGCAAGGGGATTTGGGTTCTGGCATAGTTCAACAAATGATGGGCTCCCAGCCGGTCTGCTCGCCTGCTCGCCAGGGGTGTGGTTTGTTCCCAGCTTTCTGGCTTGGTGCCGGTGAGCCTCTGGGTGCCTGTCCCCGGTCGATGGCAGACAAGGCATACCCCCCAACCATAGGGGGTTTTCCAAAGGCTCCCTTGCCTCTCTGAGGTGGCCAGGGTCTGGCTCGTGGTCCCCAGTATGCTGAACTCCATTGACTAATGCCCTGGACTAACATACAGTATTACATATCAGTTTGATAGCTCCAGGAAGCCTCCGGGGCTCACCCAGAAAATGGCGTTTAATTACATTCAATGCTGTTTTTTTGGGTCATTTTTTGGTCGTTATTTTTTGTCAAATATTGACACCTCTTCTTGAATGGCATTGGCAGAGCTGCTCCGGCTTGTATTTGGGGTTGATGAGTCCTGGGCCCAGTTTCCCATGCCTCTCGTGCTGTTTCACCTCCGGCCTGCTCATGCGCCACCTGAGCTTGCCTGATTTCTGGCCGGATTCCTTTTTTTCTCTCACCTGCTCATTTTACAGTGGCCCATTTGATCCAAGATTATTTTTGGTGTTTTTTTGTTCCTTGGTTCTGGTGGGCATTTTGTTCAGTTGCATCTGGCTCCTTTTCTGGCGAAGAATGTGTTCGTTGGCTTCTGGAGGGGTCCTTTGGGTTGTGGATGCTTGATTGATTCGGCCGGGGAGTTCCTAGCGCACTTTGTCCTGTAGCGGTTTCTGCCGCTACCTTCGTGCTGCCAGTTCTGCTTCGGAGGGCACTTTGTGGGTTGTTCTGGTTTCCCCTTGGTCCTGTTTCCAGGGGGCTCGTGTGTGTCAGGTTGCCCACAGTGTCATTCGGTCTGGTCAGCCTGCAGTGTACCCTCGTTTTCATGCATTGTGTGTGAATGCCAATCTGTCGGCTGTTTTTACTCTTATCTTGGGCTGATACTCAGGCACAAAGGTTTTGGTGGGTGTTTGGGATCTTGCTTGATATCTTGTGACTGTCCCCTGTTCTTGGCAGCCTTGTGCTGTCCTGGGGCATTTGTCGCACCTGTTGGTCTCGCCTTAGAGTTGGTACCTGTGATGCTTCTGCCTCCCTGGTTAAGTCCCCTGTTTTTCTGTCTGTGGGTAGTTAGCTTCAGGGAGCTGATTGGGCTCCCACAGAAAACCAGCATTGAATGTACAGTAATGAAAAGCCGCCACCTGAGTGAGCCCCAGAGACTCCCTGACAATCCCGTTGGCAGTTTTACATCATTCTCAAACTGACCAGTGTCGGCCCAGCTGACCCGAGCCAGCTCCCTTCTGCCCGCAACTAGGGGGAAGGTGGAGCTAACTAGCAGAGGGCTGGTTTGACGAAGTTTTAGTTGTTTCTTTTCCTTATGGGAAAGCTCTTTTGATATACTGTATAGTGGGCTAAGGCCTCGTGTTAAATCATGTAGTGGTTTGTTTTGATACTTTTCTCTGTGCCTTCCCTGATGTTTGTAAATACTGTCTCCACTCGATCATCCGGACTATATGGGAAGGACCCCCAGCCGGATTATCACATTTTTCGGATAATGGTACTTTTTCACCTACGAGTCCAAAAGTGACAATTTCCAACTACTTTTATACTACAAACAACATAATTTGAATTGCCTTGCCACATATAATTATTAAATATTCAACAAGAAACCTCAACTTACCTTGTTAGTGTTCGTCTTCTTGATTGATGCCACACATCTTGAAGTTAAGAATTCTTAACAATTTACGTAACCTATACTAACACAACACTAAAATTAACACTAAAAATTACTGTACAGTTCATTAAGCAAAGTTAGTTTTGACTGCCAGCTGCTGAAGCCTCACTGGTTGAAGGCGCTTGCATGCGCCTCACTTGTTGAAGCGCTTGCATGCCCTCACTTGTTGAAGGCCCTTGGCTTACCTGTGATGCCTCACTTGTTGAAGGCATTTGACTTGCTTGTGATGCCTCGCTTGTTGAAGGCGCTTGCTTGCTTGCGCCTCACTTGTTGAAGGTGCTTGGCTTGCCTGTGGCGCCTCACTTGTTGAAGGCATTTGGCTGCCTGTGACGCCTCACTGGTTGAACAACACATAACTTGTCTTTAATTGCTAGGACAACCTTCTTCCTCTTAACACCTCCAGAACGATTGATGCTGCAATCAGACATAATCTTGGCCAAAAATGTTCAAAGTTACTATGAAAATAAAAGTTATTTAAAAAAATATTTTACTAATGACACAGCACTGTGTATAACACGAGGGACGGGAGCACATGGGTTGACCAGTGTTGGACGTGTCCACTTGGGGTGGGGCAGCTATAGCACGTTACGTAGGCCGCCAGGAGGAAAAAAACTCAATATTTTTTAAGGAAACTTCAGCCTGTGCACATTACTTTTAGGAAACTTGTTTATTTGTTATTACATAATTACTAGTACTTATTTCATTTGTTTTTGGCTATGATTAAGTGTTCTAAAATTAATGGTAATTCCTGTACCCAGGTGGTCCCTTCCGACGCACCCCTCCCACCCTCCCAACACCACCCACCCACCCCACCCCCTCCTCCACCATGCGTCTAGAGCCACAGACGGGATTAATACGGTATGGCTGAATATTCATCCGGCCAAACCAGCTTTTATCCGGTTCCTGTGGCCATTTTGGCCGGATATTGTGATAACTTTATCCAATCACGATTTTGGCCGTATAAGGGCGTTTTCTGGATGTTTGAATCCCGGATAATCGCGGGGTTACAGTATGATAAACTTTAAATGTAAAGTGGCCATTGCTCACTGTGCCTCTGAGAGCATCAAGTTCTAGCTCGCGGTCCCTGGAAGGCAACAAGAACTCCATGACTGATGACACTCGAGTAGTATGGCACGTAATCAGTAGGATAGCTTCAGAGAGCCTCCAGGGCTCGTCCAGAAACTGGCACTTCACTACGTTCAACACTGGGTTCGTTGGAAATGTGTGTATATTTTGTTTCTTAAAAATAAGATGCAAAATGATGGTATTACTAACAGCATTTTAATCTATTTAGAAAATGTAAAAGAGCAATTTTCATATTAAAAGATTACATGTGGAAGAATTGCAGATAGAAAAAGTCAATTATAGACAGATTGTTATAAAACATGGTTTTAGAAGGACGAGTAATTCTGATGTAGGAGGGACTCCAGGTAAGTGAGAGGACATATTGGCTATTACTGGACTGGAATGCAATAAGATAAAAAAAAAGACTATATATAAATATACTGTAGCTGCTTATTCATTAGAAATACTATATTGTATGTTGAATTTTCTTTTCAGATGCAAACTGCTTTCAATGAATCTATGCAGGAAGTAAGAAGAGAGTCCATCGGTCATTCTTCTCACTTATTAAGCTTGAGCATAAAAGAAGCCAGACAGATTTGCACGAAGCTCAAGAAACCATATGTAAGCATATGTCTAAATATCTATATTTTTCTGTTTAAAATATGTAGCTACTACCTGTACTATTGAGGAATAAGGCCCCCATATCCTCAATCATTGGTTTCCATGCATTCATGCAGTAAAAAAGTTACTGCAATTTCACCCATGCATTGAAGTAACTTAAAAATGTTGGGCACTCTTCAAATTTACTCCAATAATATAAGTATCTAATACAAAACTGTTTTGTATTGAATAGTATTATAAACTATTTTCACATGATTTTGTGCATGCTGGAATTTGTAAAAGAAAAAAAAAATCAAGATTTTTTTAACCAAATTTAAATGGCATATTTTATTTGCTAACACTTGTTTTCAGGGTGATGTTTGGTCCTTAACATTTTCGCATCCCATGCGTGCGCGCCCCAGCCCACCCCAAGGTGGGCTGAGCGTTTTACGTGAGCGCGTGCCCACTCTAAAATGTGTGTACTCTTTTTAGTTTTCTCACCTCAATTTTTGTGGTACATCGTTCATTTTGGTATCAAATTGTTCATAATAGAATTCCATAAAGGGATATATGCATATAAGGTGTGCAACTGCATTAAAATGCACACACTCTTTTTCAATTTTCTTACCTCAGTTCTCGTGCTACGTCATTCATTTTGGTATCGATTTGTTCACAATAGAATTCCCTATAAGGGTATATGAATATAAGGTCCAAAAATCTGTCCCCCCTCTCATGCCAACCCCCCATGCCACACCCCCCTCCCCCACCACTCCACTGCAGCAAAGCCGAAAGTCGGCCAAGCGATACCCATCAGCAAGCACCCATTGGCACACCTGCACACAAAAATGTGTGTACTCTTTTCAGTTTGATAACATCAATTTTCGTGTTATTTTGGTATCAAATTGTTCGCAATATAAAGGCATGCATTTTAAAACTAGTCCCCTAGTAATCGAACAATAAATGGAATTTTTTTAAATATTTTAATTTCGGACGCAAAATGTGTCCCCGCCGGACATCCGTAAGATTATTAAGGACGCAAATTGCGTCCCCAGCAGGCGAAAGTGTTAAACTGTGGTATGACATGAGTAAACACCAAGAAAGGTGTATTATTGGTAATATGTATTGTATCCAGAGCCAGGTGCCAACAATTTTTAATATCTATTATTTGAACACCAACACCAAGTACAGATATTGCTAAATCAACTGTAAGTGCCACCGACACATGTCAAACACCATGCTATTAATAATATGCTTTGACCTACATGTACTGTATTTGACCACAGTCTGAACTTTTTTTAGAAGTCCTGGCAAGAAAAGTAAACACAGTATAGGTATCAATATATTTGTAGAAATAGTGGGGGTGATTGTATGGTAAGACAACATTGTGACATGGCAAGATATGGTGAGGCTGTAATACACAGATGGCAGCTGAGTTTGGTCATTGCTGGTGACTGTAATTAAGTCCATTTGGTGGGACAGTGGGGACCAAGACTGGTAAGAGGTGATGCTGCTGCTGCTGGCTGTGCTGCGGATGATCTCTATGATTTTGGTTAGACAGCCTTATGTCCTTGTGCACCTGACTCGGCTTGGAGTCCACCCGACTTAACCCTGCACATTGATATATTGATGGGGAAACCACTTGATCCTAGTAAATGTGCAGATGCCTGTAGCATCTGTAATTCCTGCAAGCATGGATATGGCTGCTACAGTTTTCTGATGTACAGTACATGCTATAGTACTCCTCCCTGCCCAGTGGCAAAAGATACTGCGGAGAAAAATATTGGTGTTGCTCCCTGAGTCGCTGGTAGAGCATATAGATCCAGTGTCATGATGCAGGCACTATGCAAATAGGCTTGTACACCAGGATCATGTGAGATGAAGGAGAGAGGAGGATGTGAACATTGCTTCCTAGGTTGCTTGTAGGTTAAATCTGGTGCCAAGATGCAGGCAGTGTAATTATATAAGTGTAGTTACAGGATGAGAGCTATGCTCATGGTGTCCCATCTTCTAAGCCCCCTTTGTCATATAATGCTTTTTAACTGCTATCTATTCATGTTAGAAGCCTCCCTATCACTCCTCCACTATGTTCCAGTTTCCAAAACAGCCTCTTATGTGGAACTCTGTCGAAAGCATTTTTAGGTCCATATAAAAGCAATCAACATAAACATCTCTTTCCTATAAAATCTCTGGCTCTATCTACTACACTTGTTAATGATACAGATCTATAATTAAGGGGGTCTTCCCTGCTGCCACTTTTGTAGATTGGAACTATGTTAGCAGTTTTCCATATATCTGCCAAGAATCCTGTACACAGGGATGCCTGAAAAATTAAGATGAAGTGGAAAACTGAGCTCACATGTACATTCTCTCAGAACCCATGGTGAAACTCCATCTGAGCCAACTGCTTTGTTCTTACTTAGCTTCTTAAAAATTGTTTCCACTTTGTCTCTAGACGCCTCTATGTGCTCTGTTCTCTGAAATTCTTATCATGTCTAGTTCTCTGAAAATTTATTTTGCACAAACACACTTTGGAACTGTTTGTGTGATGTTTCACACAATTCCTTTTAATTTTCTGTGAATGTGTTTTTCATTTTTAACCTCGGAATATTACCATTTACCTGCAGTTTGCTTTTAATGAATTTATAGAATAGGCCTAGTTTTGTTTTACATTTACCTGCTATCCCTTCCTCAATTTCTTTCTGCTTCATCTCACTTCCATATAGCTTCATGCTTCTTTGTATCGCTGGTATGTTTGAGGGGGTTTGACCTCATCTGATACTGTTTCCATTTTTGTGTTTTTTGGTCTCTAGCCCTCATGCAATTTCTGTTGAACCAATCCCGTTTCCTAGCTCTTCATCTCTGTTTTGGTATTTTTTTATGTGTTTTTATCATATATTTAACAAAACTTGACATGCATCTCATTTACTTCCTTGCCTAACAAGTCCTCTCAATTAAATTCATTAACGAACTTTCTAAGTTCACCATAGTGTCCTTTCCTAAAATCAGTTTTTCTCAGTTGTTTCATTTTCCTCATTCTCTTCTTGATTATAATGCATTGCATATTTTATTCCCAAAAGGACATAGTCACTTTTGCCAGAGGGGGGGAAGGGAAGGTACTGAATGTTAAATATCTCTTCCTGTTTCCTAGTGAATATCAAATCCAACATGGAAGGAACATCCCATCCAAAGCGACAAAGGCCCGAATGGGCCTTTGTCGCTTTAGGTTGGTGGTTGCATCCAGTTCTCTTGACTGTGAGTTGGGGAGTGTGTAGCGACCACCTCCCGGGTACATCCCTCTTTTTTTCCTCTTTGGGTAGTTAGCTCCAGAGAGCTGAAGGGGCTCCCCCCAGAAAACCAATGTTGAATGTAATGAAATGCCATTTTCTGGGTGAATGCCGGAGGCTCCCCGGCATCCCTCCCTCTGATCGGCATTTTTTTCCCGTTTTTGACGTCCAGCCTCAGAACTAATGGTGGATAGCCGACACGGTAGGTAGGGCTGGGGCTTCCCATTCCCCCTCCCGGGGAGGGGTGAGCTGCGCAGACAGTGGTGCGGCGACGTGTGACATCATGATTGTTTGCTCGTTTCTTTTAGGAGAGTTCTATCCACCTGTTCGGCTTGTGGTAGCAATTTTCACCAGAATAGGGGTTTGCTTTGGGATGCTTACCTTTCTGGGTGCTTGACCCGGTCGATGGCAGACATAGAATGCTTCCAACTACACGGGGGTTTCTGTAGGCCATTGCTCCCCTTGCTTCTCTGAGGGGGCCAGGTTCTGGTTCGTGGTCCTCAGTAGGCCTAAAGAACTCCATACACATGACTGATGCCAAAGTCTGACATTAGCATATCAGCCTGGATAAGCTCCGGGGAGCCTCCGGGTCTCGCCCAGAAAATGTCGTTTCGTTACATTCAATGCTGGTTTTTTGCATCCCCGGTGTGCTCGTCCCAGCCCACCCCAAGGTGAGCCGAGCATTTAACATGAGCGTGCGCCCACTCTAAAATGTCTTGTGGTGATTAATCTGAAAATAGAGCAGTGGCTATTCTGGCTGGTGTTGTGCCAATCGCACATTAATAAAAAAGAAGTAAAATAAAGTAAATAAGACTGCTTGTGACCTCTACTGTGTGAGAGCTGCAGGTAAAAACCAAAGAATGAAAAACTTTAAACATTGAATATAACAAAAAAATGACTTTAATAACATACTAAACAAAGTTCCTTATCCACTTGGCTAAAAGACATTATTACAAGAGAAATATACACATGTGAAAGTTACTTTAATGGCAAAGGTGCAATAATACACTATACAAAAGCTGCACGAGACTACCAACACCCAGGAGAGCCAGAGTATATGTTGCAGCTGAGAGCACGAATTAAACAAGCAGTTAGGCTGGTCGACCGGCGAGTGGTGCTGGGTCTCTGTCCAGACAGCAGGTGTCCAGGTGTCTTGGGTAGTAGAGGGTGGAGGGGGGTGGTGTCTGTCTAGACACTTAGCACGTATTGTTGTTGTTGATGTTGATTCCTTATGTTGGAGCATACAGATATGTTGGTAAATAGGCGGTAAAGAGGAACAGGCAGGATCTTCTGCCTAAGCACGAGATTACCGTAACAGTGTATACTCTTTTTGGTTTTCTCATCCCAATTCTCATGTTCCGTCGTTCATTTTGGTATTGATTTGTTAGCAAAAGAATTCCCTACAGGAGTATATGCATATAAGGGCCAAACGCTCGATGCCCCCCCTCTCCTCTCCTCACAGCAAAGCTGCAGCCAAACATTACCTGTGAGCGAACACCCTTTGGCACACCCACAACACCTGCACACAAATGTGTGTACTCTTTTCAGTTTGATAACATCAATTGTCGTGCTACGTCGTTCATTACGATATCAAATTGTTCGCAAGCTAAAGGCACGCATTTTAAAATTAGCTCCATAATTATGGACCTATAAATGGAATTTTAACAATTATGTTAACTTCGGAAGCAAAATGCGTTCCCGCTGGACATCTGTAAGATTATTAATGGACGCAAGCTGCCTCACCGCCTGACGAAAGTGTTAACCCAGAAGATGTCTGTTTAGGTTCACCTTCCCTAGTGAGGAGACACTCGGCTGCCCCCTGTGCCCCTTTGAAGGGGGCCAGGTTTTTAGGTAGGCCTAAGAACTCCGCAGTTGATGTGATCTAGTAATTTGGAGTCATCTCATTGAGATGTCTTCAGGGAGCCACAGGGGCTTACTCAGAAATTAAATTACATTCAGCCCTGGTTTTTTAGGTGCAGGCACCTAAAGAAGTCTTAAGCCTACAGCTTAAGTCTGATGTATAATACAAAGTTGTACTTAAATTCTAAAATAAATCCAAAATTGTGTAGGACACTCAATTTAATATTGATATGGTATTCCTGTAGTGTATCTTAAGATTAAGCCAAGCAACTGCCAGCAACGGGGTGTGGAGCCAGAAACGGGGTCTGGAACCAGGAACTGGGTGGCTTGTATTCTCTAATTTATTACATTTTCTTACACTATATTCCATTATGTTATATATAATGGAATATATATTCCATTATCATTATATGCTGAATTCTATTATTCATTTTTAAACTTCAATCACTTTATCAAAATCAAAATTACTTTTTTATCTTAGTCATTTTGTTCACATTGTATCAAAGTTTTGCTAATTTGTAAATGTGTTCTTGCACAGTAATTGCTCACATTCTAATAAATTATTTACATAAATCAAGGTACCTGTACATCATTTTTTTATTTAATATTTTGACAGGAATTTACATTGCACGAGGTTTTTAATGATTTTGGCCTTGAAGAAGTAGTGTTGGTGAAGGATCTGCAACACCATATGACAGCCACCCTCACAATACCAACCTTCAAAGAAAAGCTACAAACTCTGCGTGACATTGTCCAGGTTAGTTTGTCCTAAAGTTGTGTCATTATTTTGCAACTGCCCTTCACTGCTAATCACTTACTGGAGGCCAGATTAATATGCTCTGATTATTTAATCCTTTTCTTTCAAAGTTTTAGCATTAACCCATAAAATGTGGCTGTTTTCTACTTGCAACAGCTAACAGTGCTTCCTCAATTATCTCGACTACCAACTCGAGAACTGTGTGAATTCATGAATTAATTATATACTGTACCTGTATATATATATATTTCTTTGGGGAACCCTTACGGCTCCGCAGAGTTGCGTTGAGTGCACACTGTCAAAATGGTGAGAATCAGTCAAAAACTGGAATTTTAGAAGTCACTCAAAGTTGAAACTCTAGTTTCAGAGATAATTTAAGTTTAAGTTATCGACAGTGACTAAAGGTAGCTCTAATTCCTTAATTTAATTGTATGTTTTAATAAATATTGTTTGGCATTCGTACTCAAATATGTGAGAGTTGTAGGCCAATGTGTGTTGAAGTGAAGTTAAGAAAAAATAACCCCCAAATAAACAAAATATAGGGATAAATATAATAATTATAATGATTTAGGGGATATATTTAGGGTATACTTTATGTAAGTGAAAAAAACCTAATCTGGTACTTAATCATCAAAACAACCTAAAGAGTCAAAGAAAATAGTTTGAAATCTGAGAAAAAATCTGCCCCCAAAAATCAAAATCCCAAGTTCTGCGAGTTGTGACTGATTTATTTGTGGACCAATGTAATTGTGCCTTCACAAAGTTAGGAAGGGTATGCACTCTCCACGATGTAAAGGTTACAACAAAATCAGATAATAAACAAAGGAGAAAAAACTAAAATCTTAAAAAAAAAAAATCCCCTAAAAAAATTATTTTTGGGACATTGATGAAAGTAACATATAAATATATTGTCCAATGTTAATATATGATATATAACAAAATAGAGCATAATAACATACTCGTTATTATTTCTGTTAATATGTATTACTCGGCAATGCTATAAGGCACCAGCTGTATGTCCACTTTGTGGACACTTCTTACTACCATTCTTCTTCTTTGAGCGTCAGACAGGTGCTTGCATCTCTTTATTACTGCATTATTCCTCAGTTACAGTTAATAGGAGCTGTTCTCCATATCAACAAAACGTTTTTATTTTTTTTTTAATTTATCTAAAATCAATTTCCGAAAATATTTTGATGAAAGTTTCACGACGCTGAAGCCAATAAGTTGGAGATTTAACATTTTTAAGTTATGTTTGCATAATTTGAATATTTTTTGCTTCCGGGCCCCCAATATGTGTGGGTCAAGGGTTACACCGCTAAGGGCTTTTTGGCCTGCAACACCGCCAGGCGCAGCAACAAAAAATATTCTAAAAAAATTCTTTCGTTGTATAAAAGTGTTCATTTGTGTTCTCTGATCACAGGAAAAAGAATAAAAATATTGGTGGTGACATATTTTTGCCGCAATAGGGCAAGGAAATCTGGCAAAAGAGAGGGTTTGACAGAGCAAGTGTCGGAGGCAGTTAGCTCCGCCCAAGCTGTAAGGCGAGTGTTGCCACATGTAAGGCGAGTGTTGCCACATAGATATTATTACCTAATTATTTCAGTGTCTCTGATTGATTTTTTCTTAGTTTTTTGCAGTAATCTTATTCAATAGTGTGTAGTGTGATATATTTATATAATATACTGTAATGTGTGAACCATCGCTGTACTCAAAATTATGGTGTGCATTTTAGTGATCCAATTATTATGTTCATAAAACAATAAATAGTTTTGATGTTATTACACTATACACAGATAACATATAAGTATCTGCATGTTTTGGTCACCATAAGGAACCACTAAGTTGGTATGGTGAGTCAAAAAGCAACGAGGAGTGGCCACCACACCAGCCAGGTAACCACTGGCCCCCACACCTTTCCTCACTCGCCAACATTCTCCTCCCACCATACTGTTTTTGCTTTTATTCACTATATATAGACATTATATATAAGTATCTACATGTTTTGTTCATCATAACTGTACATCTAAGCTGGTATGGTGAGTTCAGGCAATAACAGAAGTCACCACACAGTCAGCTAACGCTCAGCCTCCCCTCCCTCACGTGTACAAGGCCAAACACACTAACATTCCTACTCCAACCATACTCCTTGTGGTTGTTTTACACTATATGCACACATTATATATATAAGTATCTACATGTTTTATTCACCATAACTGTACAACTAAGTTGATATGGTGCCCAAACAGCATAGTGGCCACCATACACTGCATGACAAGTCATGAAGACGGCGCTACCTCCCTTGCCAAAATGGCTCCTCCCAGCATTCTCCTTTTGCTGTTATTACACTATATTCACACACACGTTATATATAAGTATTTACATTTGTGTTCAACGTAGCGAACCACTAAGCTGGTATAGTGAGTCCAGACAGTAAAAGGTGGCCACACAGTCAGCAGACAACTCTATCTCCCTTCCCCCCACAGTGCTAATTATCATCACAATCCTGCTATTATCAGAATCCTGGTAATTTTTATCACAGTCAAGGGTCTTCTGTAATACTTTCGTCACTAAATAATAGCATGTACATATATATTTTGACAGTTTTAGGCGATGCTGTGGTCACAAACTGAACAGCAATGCTGTGAGTGCATGCGCCAGCCTTGGTGGCTCACTCAGAACTGAGGCTCTCACACCCGGATATGTTACCCACGATTTTTTTTCTAGGTGGCGTCTGTTTACTATAAGCCGTGGCTGCCCTTATCCCTCGCAAGGCATTTATAATCATGTGCTAGACCCTCAATCGTGTATGTATGTAATGCGCGATTTCGGGACAGTTACTTCCATCGTATATGTATGTGTTGTGCGGTTTAAGGGTTAAAGCAGGTACAAAACCTCCCAGAGAACTCTGTAGTTCTGAGTTGGTCGACTTTTGTTCCACCATGGCCGAGTCGGTTAAGGCAGGCGTCTGAGAATCACCAAAATGCGAGTTCAAGTTACTCCATTGACTCAAAATTATTTTCATTGATATATCACGCCATTGTGATGTGAACTTGTTTATTGTGGCAGGAGAAAGGGCATATCCTTTGACTCAAAATAGCTTTTATGTTATGTTTGTAGTCAACTTAGCATGACTAGTGTACCTCTGTTTACATACAAAATGTTTATATTGTAGGGTGAAGAATATGATGAAATATTTGAAGCCAGCCTGCAGTGGGAACGTAGTGAAGATGTGACCTTTGCTCCTGGTTTTATTAACAGGTTATTGGAGTGCCCTTCTCTCCAAGCATTAAACTCTTCTTTGAATTGTTCTTTGAATGCATCCTCATCTTTTCTCACTCGTTCAAACACTAACAGGAGGAGAAGTAAGTTCTTTTTGGTTAAGTACTATATATATTGTTAACCATTTTCTTGAAATAATTGTAGTTGATAAACTGGGGTAGTATTTAGAATATTTTCTTTTTTTTCAGACATCATTATGCACCGGAGTCTTAGCAGATATGTGGAAAAAGGCAAACATATTACCAGTCTGTAAAAATGGTAGCCAAGAAGATCCTCTAAATTATAGACCCTTATCATTAACATGCATAGTATTCAAAACACTAGAAACAATAGTTAAACCCAAATGGGTTGAACACCTAGAAAATAATGACAGTGTAATAGTTGTCGGTGAACAGTATATGCCCCTTGTTCAGAAACGGTTCCATCAGGGTTTTTACAACACTGCCAGAGAACCCGTGTTCATCTTGAGCTGGTATGTTGACGTCTGTACCAGAATATAATATCATGTCCAAGACGATACCAGTCTCACAGTCGCACAGCACAAAAAACTTCAGTCCAAATCGGTGTCGCTTTGATGGGATGTACTGCTTGAATGCCAGTCGCCCCTTGAACAGTACAAGTGACTCGTCAATAACCACATTCTGTGCAGGTACAAAATAATCCCTGAACTTCCCTCTCATGTCACTGAACATCTTCCGTACTTTCCACAGTCTGTCGTGTCTGCCCTCATTTGCATTATTCTCGAAATGCAGGCACCTGAGAATCAAGAGATACCTATCACGCGACATGTACCGGTTGAACACACGGGCGATGGAACAAGGCTGTCTTTGCTCCAATAATCCTGGATGACAGCTTTCTCAGAGTGCTTCATCATCATGGTGAGTGCCAGAAACATGTACATTTCGTCGATTGTCGTGTCCTTCCATCGCGTGAGGCAGGTAAAATGCCGTCGTCTATAAGGCTATGAGCGAACCTGTTTGTCTCAGTCACAAGATGTGTCTTGAATACATTGTCAAAATATGCCAGGAAATATTCCATGTCTGCCATATCATCACCGGTATATGGGAATAATGGTGTAACACCAACATCGCTATCATCAAATGTTGGTATTTGAGGGACAAATGTGGCGCAATCCTCCCACACAAGTACACCAGGGGGTTTGGTGTTGGCGCCAACTCCACGGCCAACACCACCACGAGCACCAAGAACACGGCTACGTCGTCTAGTCTCTGAGGCAGATTTACGTACTGTAGGCCTACCACGAATAAATGATGTTGAGGGGGCTACTGTCGATGTTGTCTACATGCTGTGAGACACGCCGCCTGCTGCGGCGTGTTGCTGAGGCAGCAAAACCACGCATGGTAACACCACCGCTGCTCATACTCGAGTCGTCCACACTACTCGTATCGGAGCCAATGTCACTGAAGCCCGAGAAAGATTCGTCACATGTACTGTCACTGAATAAACTACTAGCATCTGGGGACATATATGATGGTGGTGATGATAAGTGTTGACCCAGGGCGGCGAGGCAGGCCCGGTGAGGCGCGTGTACTGTACACGCTCGCCAAATTTTTTTTTTTTTTTTTTTTTTTTTTTTTTTTTATATACAAGAGTTGTTACATTCTTTTACAGCCACTATTACGCGTAGCGTTTCGGGCAGGTCCCTGGAATACGATCCCCTGCCGCGAAGAATCGTTTTTTCATCCAAGTACACATTTTACTGTTGCGTTAAACAGAGGCTACAGTTATGGAATTGCGCCCAGTAAATCCTCCCCGGCCAGGATACGAACCCATGACATAACGCCCGCGGAACACCAGGCGAGTGTCTTACCACTACACCACGGAGACTGATCTTCCAATTCCGTCTCTCCCTCACTCGTATCAGATCTCTAAGTAAGGTCTTTCTCTGGATCATAATCTAGGTCATCATCCATAGCATCCATCATACAAAATATCGCGTATTTCCTCCTCAGAGAGTCGTTTTCCATGACCGCGGGTCACCGTGGAGGGGGAGCTCGTAGAGGATGCGTCAGACATGGTTGCTGCTGTGAAACTTAGGCTCCCCACGGCCACGGGGCATGCTGGGATTTTTTTTTAAGATGGCGGACGATCACTGGGGCCCCCACCCACCCATACCATACCCGCGTCACCGCGCGCCAGTTTTGAATGGAACGTGAAAAATAAAAATTACCCGGAGGCGCTTTGCGCAAACCAGACGTGGGCCTGCAGGCGCATTGTGCAGTTTAAGGGTTAACCAGCAGCTACCACACTGCTTCAGAACGGCGGCGGTTTACTTGGTCATTTTCCAGGACCATATTGGGAGACCGTGGACTGCCCAAGATGAACTGCCGTCTTCAGTACCACTGCCCCCAGACGTCACCTCTGTGGACACAAACACGTCATCAATTACCTGGACGATACTGGTGAAACCAGGAAGTAACACTAACCCACTGGGGAGTTCACATTGTGCTCTGTTACACAACCTAGGTGGCGCTGGTCTTGATCCGACACCTCACCAGAAGTCACTTGCAACGACCTCTCTGACTGTCCAAGGCAGGAAACTGGAGCCATTTGCAGGTATCACGCCACCACCAATAGATGGCGTTGTCTACGTAGCGTCCAATTCTAGTGCGGACCCCTAGATGGCGCTGGAATTGCCAGGCCACACTCCGACGATGGTGACGGGTCCGTAACACTAGACCCGAGTTAACTGTTCTTAGTAATGTTGCTTTGCAGTACCTACTCCTCTAGTGAAGCCAAATATGTACTTATGCAGGTTTGCAGTCTTTCACTGGAGCCTAGTTAAGACCATCCATTCTGCAGTTTTACTAATGCATTATGTTAATGAAATGGGTCTGTAATTGCCAGGTTCTTGATAAGAGTCTAGATTTGTACTGGCAGGGAGACCAGTTTAAGTATGATGTTTGAGGTGGAACAGTGGAAGTAAATTGTTATTTTTATTTTATTGTACCTGTTCATTACATTATCTTTTATTTCATCTTTAGGTAACATGTTGTATGGAGCAGAGCGTTCTCTCAGTATCTCTGAATACTCTGCATGTCGTGGCTCCGTAACAGTAGCAGGAGCAATCCACTGGGCCCTCACGTCCTTACCCATGTCTGACCCTGTGTCTCCTCCACTTTCTACTGCATTAAATACAGTTGCTGATTTGCATGAAGTTATTCAGGTAAGCATTTCAAACTAATTACATTGACAGATTTTTCATTTATATCTGTTAGATGGTATATTTGATAACATATTCTTGTCTTACAAAATTCTTGAATGTCACGATATGTTAGTTACACTTCAACTTGTAAAAATAATGGGAAAATAAATCTGAAATGCAAGGAAGTCATTATGAACAAATCCACAAGGGCCGTGACGAGGATTCGAACCTGTGTCTGAGAGCATCCCAGACACTGCCTTAATTGACTGAGCTACGACATGGTCAAAAAGAGTTGAAATCGAAGTTCTACTGAACTTACTGGATCCTGAAGCCTCTCCGAGGCACAAACCAGGGTTTTACACAACTCTTCCCCCCCCCCCCATGCACTCGAGCTATGTCAATAGGCCGTTCCTAGTTTTCCTGTCATGTCTCCAAACTGAGTAGCCCCTTGGGAATACAACTTCATTTAAAATATTTTCTTCAAGTTTCCTCTCTGTTAATGTGACGATATATGGGACTTGGAGCTTGATTATATCCTTCAACGCCAATGTGTGTAATTACAGTGTAGTTACAGGATGAGAGCTACGCTCGTGGTGTCCCGTCTTCCCAGCACTCATTGTCATATAATGCTTTGAAACTACTGACGGTCTTGGCCTCCACCACCTTTTCTCGCCTAACTTGTTCCAACCGTCTACCACTCTGTTTGCGAAAGTGAATTTTCTTATCTTATATTTCTTCGGCATCTGTGTTTAGCTAGTTTAAATCTGTGACCTCTTGTTCTTAAAGTTCCAGTTCTCAGGAAATCTTCCCTATCGATTTTATCAATTACTGTTACTATTTTGTATGTAGTGATCATATCACCTCTTTTTCTTCTGCCTTCTAGTTTTGGCATATTTAATACCTCTAACCTCTCCTCGTAGCTCTTGCCCTTCAGTTCTGGGAGCCATTTAGTAGCGTGTCTTTGCACCTTTTTCAGTTTGTTGAAGTGGGTCTTAAGATATGGGCACCACACAACCACTGCATATTCTAGCTTTGGCATAACAAAAGTCGTGAACAATTTCTTTAGTGTATCGCCATCCATGTATTTAAAAGCAATTCTGAAGTTAGAAAGCGTGGCTTAGGCTCCTTGCACAACGTTCTTTATGTGGTCCTCAGGTAATAGTTTTCTATCTAGAACCATCCCATCAGAATCAAATCATCTCAAGATAGAACCCCTAGATCTCTCTCTTTATCAGAATTCTTTAAAGATTTCTCACATAATATATAGGTTGCATGGGGTCTATGGTCTCCTATTCCACATTCCATAATATGACATTTATTAAAGTTAAATTCCATTTGCCAAGTGGTGCTCCATATACTTATTTTGTCCAGGTCATCTTGAAGAGCATGACAAGCATCTAAGTTTCATATCCTTCCTATTATCTTAGCTTCATCAGCAAACATGTTCATATAATTTTGTATACCAACTGGTAGATCATTTATGTAGACAATAAACATCACTGGTGCAAGAACTGAACCCTGTGGTACCCCACTTGTGCATATCTCCAGTCCGATACATTGCCTCTGATTACTGCCCTCATTTTTCTGTCATTCAGGAAGTTTTTCATCCATGTTAGAAGCTTACCTGTCACCCCTCCAATATTTTCCAGTTTCCAGAACAACCTCTTATGTGGAACTCTGTCGAAAGCCTTTTTTAGGTCCAGATAGATGTAGTCAACCCAACCATCTCTTTTCTGTAAAATCTCTGTGGCTTGATCATAGAAACTGAGTAAATTCGATACACAGGATCTTCCAGATCGAAGACCATACTGTCTGTCTGATATTTTATCATTTCTCTCCAGGCATTCTACCCATTTAATTTTAATTATTTTTTCCAATATTTTGACTATTACACTTGTCAATGATATCGGTCTATAATTAAAGTGGTCTTCCCTGCTTCCACTTTTGTAGATTGGAACTATGTTAGCCTTTTTCCACACATCAGCTACAACTCCTGTAAACAGGGATGCCTGAAAAATCACTTGAAGTGGAATGCTGAGCTCAGGTGCACATTCTCTCAGAACCCATGGTGAAACTCCATCTGGACCAACTGCTTTGTTCTTATTTAGCTCCTTGAGCATTTTTCCACTTCGTCTCTAGACACCTCTATGTGCTCTATGTTGTTCTCTGGAATTCTTATTGTATCACACGTGGGTGTGTGTGTGTGCGCAACCCGTTCTCGCAAATTCGTAAAGTCAATATTGACTTATTAACTACGTGCATAGGTGATATACTAAACATAATAGATACCCTTAAAAAGATTCATAGAAAACACCAACCTTACCTAACCTTGTTAGTTTCTTAAGATAAGCATCTTATTGCTTCGTAATTACAATTATTACTTAACCTATACCTATTATAGGTTAGGTAATAATTGTAATTACGAAGCAATAAGATGCTTATCTTAACATACTAAGTAGGTTAGGTAAGGTCGGTGTTTTCCATGAATTTTTTTAAGGGTATCTATTATGTTAGATATGTCACCTATGCACATATTTAATAAGTCAATATTGACTTATTAACACTTTCGCGCTCTCGGCGCTCAAAAAAAAACAATACCCCAGATGCTTTCGGCACTTCGCGCGCCTACGCGGTAAGACCGAAAAAGTGTACACTCTTTTGACTGTCCTGACAATAATTGAAGGCGCACGTATTTAAATTTGGTATCACTGTGTTCGCAATGAAATTGTCTATAAGAGCATACCTATAAAATGCCGCCCAAGCATAAGGAGTATCAACACCAAATAAAAAACTATGCAGATCACTCGCCGAGAGCGCCAAACGGCAACAAAATGTTTCCACTCTCTTAATGGTTGCGAAGCCTACCGTTGTCCTACATCGCTAATTTTGGTATCATTGGAATCGCAATAAAATTCTCTACACGGACATATGCATATGAATGTTTAATATAGGTAATTGCCCACCCGCAAGAGTGTGTGAAGTGGAGAGTAGTTAGCCGCGAGCGCACTGGCGAAAACACAGGGGGGAAATCATGCTTGGAAAGTTTATACATTTATACGTTTCCTGACCCTACTTTTCTATGTTCGTATTTCTTTTTTATACCAATGTGTTCGCAATAAAATTTTCTATAAGATGAAATGTATAAGAATTGTACAAAGCATGTGTAAGAGAAGCGCCAAATATAGAACCACGTCGCTCAGTATGTGTTCGCAGCAGAAACGAACGCATTGTTTTCGTTCGTTTGATGTTTGTCATGTTTATACTTGTTGAAACATTTTATAATTTGTATGACAGTGATCGCAGTAAAATTCCCTACACAGACATATACATAACACATACAAATATTTCCCACGTGTTGGATATATCAACGGCTAAAGGGAACCCACTGCCACACGCCCGCCACACCCAGAGCCACACCCGCCACACCCCCAAACATACTTTGTGTTTTTTTTTTTACTCATAGAAGTTTATGTGATATAATATTCATTCTGGTACCAAAAAATTCGCAAATAAATCCTCTACAAAACGTATATAATATAACTTCTTATAGATGATAAAAAAATCCAAATAGGTGTACTTACCCTGTCTATGTTGATTGAAGATCAACAGTTGAGCATTTTTTCTTCACTCCACCATCTTCAGGCTTCTGATCCTGAAGTTGCTCATCTGATGTTTCTTAGGTGGAGTGAAGCTGTTGCCGGTGGTTATTTTTTCTCCACCCAAAATGTCTTTCTTCGGTGGTACCTTGTGTAGCAAGGCGCAGCGCACAGTGCCACATCACAAGTTTTACATCCATATATCACGTCCCTCCTTTTGTCAGACTTGAAACAAACACGGCATCTTCTTTTTTTAGCCAAGTGCACGAGTTCATGCGTCAACTTGTAGTTGAGACGTTGTTCTGAATCTATAATTCTTCTATTTCTTGGATGCACTGGAGGAATATTGCACTCCTACAGGAACCACCAAACTTGTAGTAGAATCTTCTATGAAATCAGAAACATCAAGTGGTTCTATGTCCTCAATGTCCATTTCAGAATTTGTGGTTGATGAGTGGGCTTGAGGTGTTGAGGTGAACAGAGGACGCCTCGCACCAGATGGGCCGGGTGTTGAGACTGCCGCGTCAGCAGGAGCTGCTGCGCTGGCATCTATGTCGGGAACATGTGGTATGCTTGTTGTTGTTGCCCATTCCTCGCTGTTCCACGCCAATAAGGCTTTTATTCCTACTGCGTGAAACTCAAATAGTGTTAGTTTTTTTGTATCTGTTGAGTAGTGGTTATACAATGCGTATGCATTGTGCATGGCCATTTGCAGAAAATAGAAAGTGATCTTCTTGGTCCATTTGTGGGTTTTTCTTGCAAACTCATAATATTTGACCATTTGATCAAAATGATCAACACCTTTCATGAACTTATTGTAATCCACTATGGCCTTTGGTTTGTTCATTTTCACAATTTCTACTCCAGTTCTCCTGTCACGTTTACGAACGCGTTTCCTGCGCTGTGCTTGAGTAGTGTCGGCATTGTGGATATTGGTGATGACAGAGACGGGGCGCTTGTCCTTCCAAACTATAACATGATTTCTATTTCCATGAAAACTCCATGAATGAAACTCCATGAAAACTATTTCATGGAGAAAAATCTGAGAGTATCCCCATCCATATCGGTTAGAAAATGGAATTTATAGAAATATTTTTACGATGGACTACAAAAGTATTCTGTTATGCGGAATCGTAAGAAAAAACGGTGGCGAGTAATCTCTAATCTAAAGCGCGAAAGTGTTAAATTTGCGAGAACGGGTTGGTGTGTGTGTGTGTGTGTACTCACCTAATTGTACTCACCTAATTGTGCTTGCAGGGGTTGAGCTTTGTCTCTCTGGTCCCGCCTCTCAACTGTCAATCAACTGCTGTACAGATTCCTGAACCTACTGGGCTCTATCATATCTACATTTGAAACTGTGTATGGAGTCAGCCTCCACCACATCACTTCCTAGTGCTTTCCATTTATTAACTACTCTGACACTGA